TACATTTACGTGAACAAATTATTTACCCGTTATTTTTAACGAAAACTTTCAGTGGTCTATTTTTTTTTTTTTTGAATAGCTTTCACCTTTACGTTTATGATGCTTTATGGGAAATATATTGTAAAGAAATTAAAATAAAACTGTTAAGAGGACATTGATTTTTATTTCTTAGAAAAGGTATCTAATTAATTTATAGGTAAAGTTCTTATAAAATTTTATCAGAATTGTACATAAAAATACTATAATTGTATGTACATTTATTACATTCTACTGTTATTTGTATTTGCATTCATTTTATTATTAATTTTGATATTTCATTTATGGAAAAATGTCAACTGAGATTAATATAAAAATAAGATCATATAAATTTCATAAGATGATACTGATACTTGTAGGTACCCTTCTCAGTTGAAATTGAAAAAATCAAATTAACTTCTCCACATGTTTCGGGTAAAAGTAAAGGCCTTAACAGCGGAGAACAATGCTTAACTCAAATAACGCAACTTAATTACATTCTGGTTGGTCTTCCGTATTTTATAATTACAGCTCGATTATAAACACAAATTACATTTCTTAATTACTGGGGATCTTCTGATTAGTCAAAAAAGATACAATTTAAAACCCAAAAAAAGATCTATCTCATAAGAACACTTAGGAAATTCGATGCGGCTTTTAAAACTAATTTTATAATATTTTAACAACTTAAATGTAAAATCTAAATTATAAAATTAATGAAATAACAAATAATTGTATTAAAATTCATTTTCATCGAAAAAATTTTTTGCTTTCAGAAAATATTGTCCATATTCAAAAAACAACTAAAAGCAAATAAAAGCATTTGAAATTAAATAATATCTTTGTTTTATTGAGTTTTGTATGTTGGTAATTCAGAGTTGATTTTCAGGTACTGCGTGTATCCAATTAAAAACAAAAAAAAACATGATTTGCATTCCTCAAAGCCCTATGCTTTTTAATTATTGTAATCACTAAAACCGATGCGATCAATTTAAGCGTTTTCATAAAATTAGTTATGGGGGGGTATAAATATTTTAAAAATATTTCTACCATGACTTTCATAAAAAAAAATTATTTATAATAATTTCGATCATCTGTGAATAGTTCCTGAAAGTTTCATTAACATCCGATAATTATTTCTATTTTTGCAAGATTTTTTCATTAATGTATGTCATACCAAAAAAACGTGCTAAAATTGTCTGTTATTTACTAGTTCCAACAGATACAAATAGAAAAAAAGTTTTTTTAATCAAAATTTAGAATGTTCTAAAAAGAAGGAAAAATTTTTTAAAATAATTAAAAAAAAAATTGGTCTTTCCTCTTAATTAATAACATAAGCATTTAGACAATAAAATTTTTGTTTTCGGCAAGGTTAATAATTTTCATCAAGCTATGCTCTTTTTTAAGCATAATCTGGAGGTACCTATATATAATATACATATATATACAATATATAATAAAATATATATTATATATATGTATATATATATAATATTATGATATAAATATTTATATATATATATATATATATAATATACACACATATATATATATAATGTTACACATATACATATATATATAATATACACATATATATAATATATATAATATATATATATATATATACACAATATACATATATAATATATATATATATACATTTTATACATATATATATATATTTATAATATAACCATATATAATATAATTTATAAATATATATAATATGTATAACAAACAAAATATATATATATAATATATATATATATATATATATATAAACTACACACATATATATATATTTTTATGTTAAAACCGGATAATATATATATAATATACATAATATACATGAATTCTATATATATATAAATACACATATATATAATATACATTATATTTATATTTATAAATGATTTATATCCGTTTTATTTTTATATGTTGATATATTTAATATACATATATATATGATATAAGTGATTTTATTATATAATATGATATTTATAAATACATATATATATTTTATTTTTATAATGTACAAAATATATATACATATATATATATTTTATATATATAAAATTATATTCTTTTTTTATACATATATATATATTTTATATAATTACATATATATTCTATATATATTTATATATATACTATACATATTGTTTATATATATATATAATACATATATATAATATACATATATTATTCACATATTATATAAAAATTTTTTTTATAATATACAAATTTATATATAATATATAATAAAATTGAATTTATATATAAGATAATTTTTCATAAATATATATATATAATATATATAAATTTATATATATATAATATATATATGAAGCCCCCACTGACACCAATTCAGTCGGTTTTTTTTAACTTAGAGGCAAAAACCATATCTTGCCATAGAATGATAAAAAAAAAAAGAAACAGTCTGTCTGAAAGGATTTTTTATTTAATATTCAATTACTTCAGTTGAGCACTTGGGGAAAAAAACAAAAAACGGTAAACAGTGACTAAATAATTATATAGACGAGATGAATCACGAAAAATCTGATCACTGTCAGTCAAACATTCATGTTTCTAAAAAAAAAAATTTTTAAAATAAACCAGTTCCTCTAAACATTAAAAAGCTAAAACAATAAATATTGGTAAAAATTTCTAATTTTTTACAAATAAATTCAGTCGGGTTCGATCCTAGCTAGAGGCAATATTTCTAAATAGATTTTAAAGCTGTAAACAAGCGAAACAGTCTGTCTGTGGATGACGTTAACATCTGCTCCTAAATTTTTTTTTAGTACTCTGGGAAAAAAGGGTTTTAAATAGTGACTATTATAGCTATATAGCTAGACTCTTCAGATTTTTAATTAAAATAATGACTATATTCATAAATAAAATAAATATGCTTTTTAAACCTTCATCCCTACTTAGAAAATTTTTTTTAAACTGACACCAATTCAGTCATTTCATCCTGTTAGAGCAACCGGATGTTTTAGCCAAAAAAAATTTTAAGAAATAAATTCTACTTGGATAAAAAAGATAAATATTAAATTTATATATAAAATTATACATATATATATTTAAATATAAATATATATATAAATAGATCTACCCAAAAAAATTTTAAACCCATAACCATCTTAAAAGTTTTAATAACAAAAAACAAGCATTTTAAACACATTATCTACTTATTTATGAAAATTAAGCAAGACGATAATAAAGGCCCCTTTCTAAATAGGAAATATTAAAGAAATATCATAAAATATTAAAGAAATTTAAAAAAAAATTTTTAATAAATTTTAATTACATTATATAGATTTTAATTAGCCATCACTTTGTATAAAGAACCCAACAATTTGCTAAATCTAAAATTTGAAATCTTGAGTAAGTGTAGACTTAGGAAATGCTGGTTACTAGAATAGGTTTGGTTTTCACATTTTTTCTTTCATTTTTTTTTGTTTTTGAGTAAATATGTATTAAACCCCTCCCATTGCTGAGTTACTGTTTTATTTGTTTTTTGGGGGTTTTTTTGTCACGCGGTCATGATTGTTTTTATACTGTAGGCTATTTATATTCTGTCCTAATTTTAAAAATTGGCCAATGTATTTGACGATCCGCGTATCCAAACTTTAAAAAACCAAATTATGTTTGCCTGGCTCTTTAGGTTGATAGTTAGATTTGCTCTATTTAATTATTGAAGACTTTTTTTTCCATAAAAAAATTTGTGAATGAAATGCTGGAGGTTTTTTTTTTTTGGACCAATTCAGCTTGGATTCTGGACGATTATTTTTGCTTTATTTACATGTTCTTAGTTCTTTCTTTTTTAAAATTATTTTTCCTTGGTATTGGTTTGTTCATTTACAAGCCAAAACACCTTAAATTTTCCAATGTCAAGTATAATTACTTATATGTATATTATTATATATATATATATATATATATGTCTATATATTATATATATATATATATATATATATATATATATATATATACACCTATATATTTATTATATATATATATATATATATATATATATATATACACATATATATATTTATTTATATATATATATATATATATATATATATATATATATATATACACATTATATATATTTATTTTTATATATATATATATATATATAATTATTTTTATAAAAAAATTTATAACATAAGTATGTTATAAAATCACTACAAAAATAGCCATTTTGTTTCAATTCTGCTCTACTTTGTATTGAGCACTCTTTTAAGAATAGTAATTGTTGGTTATTGGAATTCATTCCGTGTATACCAATTATATACTTTGTTATATATATATATATATACACATTATATATATTTATTATATTTATTATATATATATATATACACATTATATATATTTATTATATTTATTATATATATATATATACACATTATATATATTTATTATATTTATTATATATATATATATATACATTATATATTTATTATATTTATTATATGTATATATACACATTATATATATTTATTATATTTATTATATATATATATATACACATTATATATATTTTATTATATTTATTATATATATATATACATTATATATATATTATTATATTTATTATATATATATATATATATATATATATACACATTATATATATTTATTATATTTATTATATATATATATATATATATATATATATATATATGGCTGATAACTCAACTCCGATTTTATTATGTAATAACAACATATTTTGGGGTGGAATATCTACTGATGTACTAAACAAATGTGGCTCTTTATATATATATATATATATATTTATTCACACACTCACACATGGACACATATATCATTAAAATCATAAAGAAACACTGGAATTTATATAAATTAAAAAATCAGTATTTTTTTATTAAGATTGGTATTAAGTATACAAATGGAATCTATTTTACAATGGAAATAAAGAGTAAACAAAAGAAAAGAACAAAGAATGAAACTCAGTTTCTGAATTGATTGACCACCTTTAAAAGTGGAAATTTAGTTTTGCCATCACATTTTCCCAGATAATCATCTGCATTCATGTTATATATCATAATTCCAGGATAGCCGTTCTTTTTAATCCAATTAACCTATCAATGAGAAAAAAATTAAAAACAGATTTTAATGTCATACAAATTATACATACATTTACAATTTGTTTTTTTAATGCCTGAAAATCAGTTTGGAAATATTAAAGTGTCTAAAATTTAAAATAAATTATGAGGGAAAGAAAGAATATTCTTTAAATATTTGACTTTCTTCTTAGTTTTAGCAGGAAAAGTTACCTTAATTTGAATGCTCTGTTCATCGTCATAACTGATCCATGTCTTGCCTTTGTACATGTAGGGTACTTTGCAATGTTCATGAAATACACGGGTTGCACCAGATTTTAAAAGCTGACAACTCTAAAATAAAATGAATTAAAAAAACTGAATATTTTAAAATGTATTGAGGGAGAGGTGGGTATTCAAAATTATATTTAAAGAAAATAGCAAATTTCTATTTATAAAACATAGTGATAAATGCCAAGAATGAATTAATAAAATAAACTTAGATTCATCTCACACAAGAATTCAATACTGGGGGTAAGCAATGAGAATTGAGCTTGCTGAACTTACAATTTTTCTTAGAAATGAGTTTGCTGGTCCACACTTGACAGAAGGTACCTGTTCATTAAAATAAATATATTTAAAGGAGACTTGTCCCTAAAAAAAATTCAGCTCTACATGAGTTAGTCATCTTTAGTTGCCTTTCAAGTCAGCTGGGATGGAAATTTCTGTAAATTAGCCAATTTTGATGTAAGGAAAAAAAACTTTCTGATCTTCCCATTATTATCATGAAAGATGATCAGAAGACAAATCAATTCTGATTTATATAATGAGGAATATGTTGTAATGAGGTGGAGAATATTCTCTTTCCAAACATGGAAATAGCATGCCCTGTGGTAGTGCATTTCCCACTTGTTTTAGGGATCAGTGTTTGAAATTCAGTAAAATGTATATTTCAAATGCTGATTTTTAAGTCAAATTGGGTTTTGCCACTTGGTAAAATGATGACACAATTTTTTTCTTCTTTCTCTGCACACTTTTTCTCTCATTTGACAAGGCTAAGCTTAGAAATACCAAGACTAACATTTTTCAGCTCCTATTTTATAGTATTCAGTGAGGTGCATCAATGACAAAATCATTTTGATACTTTTCTAAGATTTATAAAAATGTTCTCAGTGGATTTGTGTGTGCTATCTGATGCTCCAGGCAGTCAATATTTTCTATTTTGGTCAGCAGTCATTCAAATTCATGTTCTGATATCTTCTAAAAAAGTTTGTTGCCAGTTAATTCTGGCTATATTGCTTCCATTTTTCATCAGGAACCCATCATAGTTCTTAAAATGTAAGTTAGAAGAATTGTTGTATGATCAAGCTATTTCATCTGCCTCTCACTTTTTAGCTGCCATCACACAGGTGTTAAAATTGTACAGCCAGATACTAGTTGTTAATTGGGGATTTCAGTTTAATTCCTGAAGAATTTAGCAGCTTTTCTAATTTAAGAATATAAGATGAAATATGGTCAACTTGATGGGACACTAATTGTAGAATTGGCTGTTACTCATCATTAATCTATCTCTGTAGCAAGTATGGCTGGCCAATTGTATCCAAGTACATCTGCCTGCCCAAGTGGCTAGATTGCAGATGCCTACTCAGAATCATTTGTGTTTGTTCAAGGAAATTTAGTTGTATACTAAGAAACTGTTGTCAATGACTTGACCTCACTTAAGTTTAAGAGTGCATAATAGATTGATGTGTTAATAACAATTAAGAATTTTATTTGTTCAGTAAATTTTTAGGGGAGAGTAGGAAATTGTTCAGTCAGTTAAATTGTCTTTACAAAGAAACATGGAGGATTTAAAAGTAACAATGGTGGAATTTATGTAAATCCAGCAGAAACAAAATGAACGGTTGGAGGAACAGTGACTCTGTAAAACAAAACAAATGGTTTGAAAAAATGTTCAAACTGTTAGTGTTGAAAAAGGAAAAAGAGTAAAGCAATGTAAATTCTTTTTCTCAGGATTCAGTGATGAATTCAGTTGGCCAATTTAAGTACAGTCCTGAGGAGGAGGTAACTTTTGCAGTGTATTTTTGCCATTATAAAGAGGTTTTTCAAAAAGATTACATTACTACATGGTCGAACAAAAAGAAAATACGTCTGTTATTCAGAAAATTTGGTCCAAGTGAACATGAAAAATATACAAACTACATACTTCTGAAAAATCTTAGGGAAATATCTTTCAAGGAGACTGTCTTAATTCTGAAAAAAATTTGGGGAAAGAAAAGTTCTCTGTTCAAACCAAATTAGGTAGTGTTTAAACCTTACAAAAAAGTGGGGAGAATTATTCATCTTTTACTGGACATAAGGACATAAACATAGACATTGATGAAAACCCAAAAGTAAAAGTGGATCAAAAATGAAAAATACAGTTAACTACTACAATGGAAAACAAAGAAATAAAAATGAAAAGAAAGTTTGTAAATGTACAGATGAACAATAAAAATATTAAGTTCCAATTCAATACTAGTTCAGTTCTGACAATGATAAATGAACAAACTTGGAAAAAAAACTGGCAGACCAACTTTATTGATGACAAAAATTGCTTATGGCATTACAGGTAAACTAAATTTTGAAGGAGAATTTTATACAAATGTGACATTTATTGGCAAAACTATAAAATTAAAAGAATTCATTATGAAACAAACTGAGAACCTGCTCAGTATGGATTGAATTGAGTCATTCAACCTTTTCAACCAACCAATTAATTTGTTCTGCTATAGTGTCAGTGTTAATTCAAACAGTGTGGAAAAATTAAAAAAAAGAATTAAATATAAAATTTCCTGAAATTTTTTTCTGAGGGTCTTGGCAGGTGCACAAAATCTAAAGCGACATTCTAAATTTAAGAGAATGTGACACCTATATTTTGGCTGAAAGAAAAGTACCTTTTGCAGTTGAAGCCTCCATTAGTAAAGAATTAGAGCAAATAGGCATGTTGAGCAAAATGAACTCCAGTGGGTGGGCTAGCCCTAACCTTTAGGTGAAAAAGAAAAATAATGAAATTAGGGTGTGCGCAAATTTTTCCACAGGATTGAACAATTGTTTGGAGACATGTAATTAGCCTCTGCCAAGCCCTGTAGGCATATTTGCAAAATTAAATGGTGACAAGGTGTTTTCAAAACTTGATTTGTCTGAGGCATACTTCCAGATTCCTGTTGACGAAAAATGTGCAAAGTATTTTACTATAAATATGCATAAAAGTCTGTATAGATTCAGCAGACTGCCATTCGGGATAAAGGTCACACCAGGCATTTTCCAGTAAATCATGGATACAATATTGAATGATGTTGACTTCACAATAGTTTACCTTGATGACGTCTTAATTAAGAATGAAAGCTGAGAAGTTTTTGAAAAAAATAAAATGATATGGCTTGAAAATTAATTTGGATGAATGTGAATCTTTTTTTTAGCTAAAATTAAGTATTTGGGACAGGTTATAAATGCAAAAAGCAAATAAAACAGATCCATCAAGGTCGAGTGCGATAAAGAACATGACTCCCCAACAAATGTGTCTGCACTACAAACATTCTTGGATCTAGCAAATTACTACAGTAATTTTATCCCAAATATGCACATGTTAAGAGCTCCTCTAAACAAATTATTAAAAAAAAATTCTAAATGGAACTGGAGTACTGAATGCCAGAGTGCTTTTGAGAAAATAAAAAAATATTAACATCAGACTTAAGTCTGGCACATTACGATCCAAATAACGATAATATTGTGCAAGTGACGCTAGTAATTTGGGCTTAGTAGCTGTAATATTACACAATGAACATCCAAGTAAAAAAGTGATTACATGTTGCATAAAGGACCCCTAGTGCCAGCTGAAAAAGGGCACAGCCAAATTGAAAAAAAGGGTTTAGAGATAATTTTTTGCAATAAAAAATTTCTATAGATTCATTCATGGAGGAAATCTTACACTTTAAATGAACCACAGACTGAGAAGAGGTTCCTAAGTATACTGCAAATTGACTTCAGAGATGGGAACAATATTAAAATATAATTTTAAGCTGGAGTTCCTTCTGTCAAAGAGGTTAGGGCATGTGGATGGGTTATCCAGGTTAATCCCCAAACTATGAACTATTGGAGGAAACTGTGATAGCAGCCCTAAGAATAGAAATGGAAATAAAAAAACATGCTGTACAACACCATATGAAATTACCTGTGACACTTGAGGAGATCAAGAACAAAGCAAAAATAGACAAATGTATCACAGAGAAAAAGAAACAAATTATGAACCAACAGTACAAAAAGAATGATGAGTGAAAAAAAAAAAAAGAGTGAAAAGATTTTTTTTTATCTATGATAGAATTTTGATTTATGGTGAACAGGTGGTAATAATCGAGGATGAAAACTTTAATGAGAAGCTATATTTTTTGGCCGAATATGGACAAAGAAACAAAAATGTAAAATCATGCAGAGGTTGTGTGATGGCACCACCAGTGAAATTTACCACTTGGCCAAAGATGGACAGACCTTGGGCAAGGCTGCATATAGATTTTGCAGGTCAAATGAAGAGACAATATTATTATGGCCAGAGGTGATGAAATGTAAAAATCATACGTGCAGTGGTACTATTAAAAGTTTTGCATGAACAGTATTCCGGATGGCACACAATTCATGGCAAAAGAGTTCAAAGTCTTTTGTAAAGTTTTTTTTAATTGTACACATCACTACCACACCCTATCATCTGTTATCTAATGGTCAGACAGAAAGATTTGTAGACACTTTCAAGCAAGTATTAAAAAAGTCAAATGAATCTATAGACAATATCGCACAATTTTTAAGGGTATATCGTGTGACACCAAATCTAAGTACTAATTCAGTGTTGTCACCTGCAGTGTTAATGTTCACGAGAAAAATAAGATCTGTGTTTGATAAATTGTTGACAAAGAGAAATAAAAGAATAAAGAAAAAAAACATACAAAATCCTATATACCAGGAGAAAAGATTTTTCAAAGAGTATAGAAACTGGAAAGGAATTTGGAATGCTGGTGCCATTGATATTGAAAGACCATTAAGAGACATCACAACCAGATAAGGAAAAAAGCTCAGAGGATATAAATAATCAGAAGAACCAATGAAGGTTATTCATGATTTATTCGACATATCGATGCCTCTAGTAAGCCCTGAGGAGAAACATTCAAGTAAGCAGAAAAGAAAATTTACAGGGACTGTAGGGACAAAACCTGAAAAGAAGGAAAAAGTATGATTTCCAGAGGAAGTAGTCAATTCAATAAAGTGGGTTGTGGAGTAGCTACACACACACACACACAAGATGGACTGGTCTAAGAAGACTATTTAAACAGCTCTCTCTCTTATTAAGCAACAGGAGTTAACAATTAAATGTTTATTACATTAGTCTATTTTCTCAACCATGTACCATATTATTCTCTTGGATAAACTACTATTTATTTTCTATATGTCTGTCCACCTTTCCTATTTACAACACAACAAATTTGAACAAAGCCAGTATGCTCAAGCTCTCTATCAAAATGATTTGTGAGTTCCTGTTAGTACAACCATTGACAGTTTCCAAACAGTTCCATTTATATAGACAGATGTATGAAATGACATAACAGCTTTCAACCTAAAAAGCTAAAGCAAAAGTCTAAATATACATTTCAGTTCCTGACCTCCTCCTTCAATCATCATATCATATTCTGTTATTGTTACTGTAATCTTGTCAATGACAAACCACAATGACCGAGGGAAGAAAAAGTGGGTGAGTACATGGACAAACTATACTCTCAAAAATACTTTACTAGGCAGTGACAACAGAATGATTGCACTATATCCATTGTCAGTCATGACATAGGAAAGCCAGTGATACTATGCAATTTTAGTGTACTTGAATCATTGGTTTTTGGGTAATTCTTAACTTAGTTAAAAATCAACTAAAAAAAAAGGCTACCCACAAGAAATAACTTGGATATATTAACTGCTAATAATTGAGTTGTTCTTTTTTACTATAAGAATAAGGAGGTAAGAATCGTAGATCTGACTTCACTCATCTCTATTAACCATAGTGGCAGACTGATGACAATAAATGCTTTAGTAATGATAATAATAAGGCTGAATAATAATGAGCATTTGGAAATAATATCACTTCTACAAATAGGAAGTGACTTGAATTTGAATGGAGTCACCTGATGAAGATGACACTGAAAACAGAATTGAGTTTTTAATTATTACACTTTAATATGGATCCTATCTTTGTTGTTCAAGGTGATTCTTAAAATTTATTAACTGTATAATTGATACACTGACATTTCTTGAATGATACTGCTATTCTAATCATGTGTTTATCCAATGGAAAAAGTTCTAATGATCAGATAAATGTTTTGATTATGTTTTCTTTCCCACACTCAAGTGGAATTAAGCAAATACTATGGTTGAACAATTGTGTCACAATTACCAATCAATCTCTCTGGAATGTTATTATTTTTAAAAAATACAAATAATGCAAAAGTTTACATGGACCATCAAAAATGACAGTATCTGATACTGATATTTTGCTATATGTCCTTACTATTATTTTGTTTTTATGTGTCTTATATTATTAAAACTTATTTTTTCCATTCTGAGTAAATTGCAGCTCTCAGTAATTTGGGGGAAGGGATGAAGGTAATAAAATTATTACCTGAAATCTGACCCTTGCCAGCTTGCATGCAAAGCTCCTTGAGCTGTGAAAGGATGGGGAGGAGGAGAAGAAGGGCAACTGAAGTTGAAAGAAAGGGGAAAAAAAAAACAGAAGTGTTTTTTCTACTATAATAAATTGTTTTGATAAATGTGATTTTTTAACCAATGGCTACTCGAACCATTTAAAATTTGAAATGCTTGTGTTGACTGCTCAAATTTGTCAGGTAAATCAGAGCTGACTTTTGGTTAGAAAAATCCCTGCAATACGAACATTGCCAGGGAGTAGGGAAATGCAACATCTTCCAAAACGCCTAAAAACTTGACTGAGCGTAGACTCAAAGAAACCCACTCCTCAACAAAGTTTTGACAACCAAATGTCATTTTCATGACAGAATTAAGTTTCATTTTAACACCAAATATTGTAACAAAATAGTCATTTCCACAACCGAGAACAAGTACTATTCTCAACCTGACTGAAACCCTTTTATTGTATCTTCTTCCTTGTAAGTTGTCTTGTTTTTTATACACTGCCATGTTTCTTGTGATATTTTATGTTCTTTGATTGTAAACTTGATTTTTTTCTCTCAAATACCATTAAACCTTTTTTTTTTTTTTAAGTTACTTGTCCAGGAATTTATTACCCCTTTTTTCAGGTGCACAAACCACCAAATTTGGGCATCCCTAAATTTAGTAAAATTTGCTTTTATTTTAATAAAATTGTTTTGATTTTATATCTCACTATGTATCTCTTGTCATTTTTTTACAGTGCACCTTCTTGTTGTTTGATGGCCATTCTCTTTAATCTCTTTGAACTGACATAACAAAATATTATATTCTGTGTTAATAGGAATATATACTTGACAAAGACGGTGGATAAAATAAGTAAAGGTTTATTGTAAAAACCAGTACAGTAAGAATAAAGCTAACAATTATGCACAAGATCATCACAAGTCAATCCAGTAGTGAGTGCTAATATTGGAAGGTCAGTAGTTCTCACATAAATCCGAGTCGTACTCAACAGATCCCAGCTAGTCTTTGTAGTCTGTTGATTTACAGATACTTATAGTGATAATTTAAATTCTGAAATTTTCCCAAACTGCAGAACATTATCAGATATGTATCTTCTTTATGGGGATCATTAAGAAAATATTAAGATAGCTTATTTCAAATTTAACCAATTTCAAAGAAAGAAACTAAAATATTTGCTTACATCTGGATAGTTAACATAACCACCATTAGGTCCACGATCAGAGGCTGGTGCATGTAGGCCATGATCAAATGCAAACAAAAGTTTGTAGGAATGTCCATAGAGAGGAATTCCAATCACCACTTTTGATTTGGGCATCCCTTTTGAGATCCAGTAATTTCCAGAATAAACCTGGAATAAAAACAAAATGTCTGAAAACATTTGCTGCTAAAAGAAAATCAGTTCAAGACTAATAACATAGTGAAAATTAGAAAAAGCTAACATGAGAGGGCGAAAAAGGTTTCATGGCCACCATTTCAAACTACATAAATGCACCTGATAATGCATATGGACATGGATATTTCTTAAGTTTACAATCATTCTGTTTTCTGTCAAACATAATGTGTGCCAGTGATCTTGTTTTTGTCAAGATACACAACAATAGAAAAGTAGGTGGATTCATGCCTTTCTCCATGGCATGAATATTTTTTTTTAATACAAAAATTCACTCAATACAAGGCTTGAGGACCACTCAAGTTAGAGGGTTACTATCAGAATGTCTATAATGAATGAAATGTAGTATATGAATGAAAAAGAAGGCAGGAAGAAGTGAAAATTATGATGATAAGGAGGATAAATAATGATTGATCTTTGACTTGAAAAGGATAAGATTGTAGTGTTCAAGGAAGTATCAATGCTGTAGTCTGTTCTGTTGATATTTTAGTTACTTCTGTCTTGGAGAAAAAGATGGATTATCTTCCCTTGAAGTAGTTGGGCATTGGAAAAAAAGATGAGCAATATATGTTGAATGGATACCCACAAAATAGCATATCTTGAGAAAAAACATCAGTGGAACTTTCTCCATATATCTGGAATATCAGTCAGTGCAAATTCAACTGATTCTATTTTCCTGAATATTTTTAAACTAGTTCTTTTGCCGCCTCAACACTTCCAACTACCAAATTAATTATTTAATGAAACAGTTTTTTCCTCTCTCATTAAGTTTTTGATGAGCATTTCTTTCATCTTAATTTTAGTAGAGTTACATCATTGTCTAATGTATACTCCCTTTGCCTTACAGCTTAATATACGCACCCTACTCGATGTAAATGCAATTCTCACTCTCTAATACATTCCTTTCTCCCTAATCCCTATCTCTCTTCCTTACAAGGGTATAGTTCTACATGTGAAACTTGCTGCAAGTTCACAACAGAACAGCCTAAAGAAACACTAATGTCATGTGCCAGACCTAATTGTCTGAGGCAGAAGTTTGGTGTTAATCTATTTGTGTTAAGTACCTGTAATAGGAGTGACAGTGACTTACCAGGAGCAAAGCGAATTTGTTGCCTCGCATGTCGAACCATTCTCTGAGAGTCAGTCGTGCGTGTGCCTACTGCCATTTTTATGCAGCAGACTTATTTGCATAAGAGAACCACGCTACCGATTAAAAACCTGGCGAGTGGACGTGGGAGGCCACTACTTTTCTAGGCTTCGGCGAGACTAGACGGATTGCAGACAGAAAGCGACAGCAATTTCTGGACATACGACAGTACCTCACAACTGTTGATTATTTTTTAGCTCTAAGGAAATAGATCAACTTGAGGACACTATTACCTCAACTGTCATCTGCAAATTGAAATCACACTTTGCAAGATACTGGCTTAAATGTCAGTTGATTTCCAATGCAGGACCCCAGTTTACATCTTCATCATTCAAAAACTTCTCAGAAAAATGTGATTTCAAACATTTCATGGCGATGGCCAGAAATCAACAGGCAAGCAGCAATGTTGAATCTGTGGTTTGCAGAATGGTTCATGCAAAAAGACAAATACCCACTTGGACCAGTTTCTGGCACTGCCTGATGTCAGAAACACTCTAACTCAAGGAATGGGAAGCAATTCTTCTCAGTGCCTACTATAAATTGTTGCACCTGTACACTTCTCCCCATGAGGAGTAATTTGCTGAACTTTAAAATGTCGAGCCTTGAAACAAGACTCTACTACTGGAACATAAACAGAACGTTTAGGCTAAATACTATGACTGTCACACACATGATTTACTTGTGCTGAGTGAAGGTGATGTTGTATGAATGCACTTGTACAAGAAAGGTGAATGAGTATGGGAGAAAGATGACATAAATCACCAACTGGACAAGCATTTGTACAAAGTCCAGACCCCAAATGAAACTTATCGGTGAAATCTATTGGTGAAACAGACGTAATCTCTGTAAATTATTTGAACCAGTAGAGCATGCAAGAAATGGTCAGCCACCACCAGCCTCTACAGATACTCTAAGTTTACCACATGACACAACAAAAACACAAAGTAATCCACCACCTCTAAATGTACCCTTAACCAGCCTCAGCTTTTGTGTTTGAAAGCACTAACACAACTGAACTAGAAAATGCAAATCTCCTGCTGGGATTCACAAACATGGTGGACAAGTGATACCACAGCCAGTATATCAGAAAGTATATGTAAAACAGTGGGTGAGACAGTCAGCACTCTTTACAAAAGTGAGGTTATTACATGATTATTTAATGTATATTCCCTTTGACTTACAGCTTAATGTACAGTCCCTACCCAACATTAAGGAATGTGATACTTGCTCTCTGATACATCCCCTCTCTACTTAACCCCTTTCTATGCCACTTCTTTCTTGTATCTTAAAGTCTGTTTCACATTTGTGTTGGCTCTCTCCTAAATCTGAGTCTGTCCTGTTTGCCATGACAACGTAACAAGTGGATTTTTATTGAAGCTACACAGACCATTGGTCTATACTATGACCATGTCACTACTAAATGGCCACATATTGAAATTCTAAGTTGTTTTGATGAAAGGCAACTGAAATTAAGAGGAAAAACCTGCTGTTTGAAAATTACCAATTATTGACATTATTTCCTCTAATAAAAATTCAATGTAACAATATTAATCTTTTCTTTTTTATTGCTCCAATGATCTGATGATAAATAAACAATTCAGGTTTTGAAAAAAAAAAATAGTATTTATATATGCAAATGTATGAACGTATTTATTATAAATATATAGATAAAAGAAACAATCCTCCTACATGACAAATGCTATCAGTTTAAAAGTGAAACTCTGCTCCGATCTTGTGAGTCTGATAAATCATTAATTTTTTTTTTTTTTTTTTTTTTTTTTTTTGCAAACAAGAGTGGATACAAACATTTTTCAGAAAATAAATATAAAACTACAAGAGTGTGACAATTGTAGGCACATAAATAAATCTATAGCCTAATGCTGAAAAAACAAAACAAAAAAAAACATATATTTAACACAATAAATAGAGCATATATTTGACACAAGAAACATAATCTCTTTCCTTGCATTCAGTGGTGAATATTGATCACATGGATTGAAAAGTATGCAGTGAAAATTTTAAATAAAAAATTCAGCTACTAACTAGCATATTTAATGCTCCCACTTTCTACTACAGCATTACAGACAGGCGAGGAGCAAGTACTGCTATTCTATGGAATCTGGATAAACATTATACCTCAGATTCCCATATAAAACACAAGATGTATTTTTTTAATCATTTATAAAGGGGAAAAGAGGCAGGGTCTTATATACCATCAAATACAGTACTTGTCATCCTGCAAACTTACTGATCCACCCACATTATTGATGTTGAGCAAGCTAATCTGAAATACTATTGCTTGCCTAGTGATTTTGATCATCCCTGTGTGTGCTATCACAGTGGCTTTGTGTCAAACTAAATTCATAAGACCATTTCAAACTTAAATCAATTATTAAAAATATGGCAGAGAATTTGCTCACTATGGGAATAAAGCTAAATTAGAACAACTTCTGCATATATTTACAAAACTTGTTTCACACAAGGCCAGACTAATGGTTGAAGCAAGTGAAGGTCAAACTGACATTACTTAGAATCATTCTTAACAGGTTCTTTAATAACGATGTATGTTCCTATTCAAATGTATTGTTTCCAAACAACTGACACACAGAAAACAATTACTTTTAAGCCATTTTCTAAAAGAAATGTGGTAGATACAACAAATATATTGTATTCCACAAAACATTTTATCCTATTTTTGTAGTTAGATAGCATGAAGAGTGTGTTTAGTTCCACTTTAATTCCAAAAGATCAATTTTTATGGCATTGTAACAACTGTCATAACAGTGTGAATTTTTTTAATTTTGTCAAAATTATGTATCTTAGTTTCATATTAACATTGAAGATAAAAGAAAATAAACTTGAGATTAATCGTCAATGTATCATGTTATTGTTTGAGAATAATCAATATTATATGGCATGCAAGTAAACCTATATGCTTAGAATCAAGCAATGAAATTAATTTTCATCAGCTTTGTTAGTTTGGTTAGCAAAAGATGTATTTCCATGTGGGATTTGTTATATTAATCTAATTAAGGGTTTTCAATAGACTATGGCTGACAATGGAAAATGGGTACTTTAAAATATTGACTGTAAAAAGTAATTTGGCAAGTGAAATGAATTATCACTCACCAAAAAAAAGTGATGATGTATAATTGAAAGGGAGACATGTACTATGAGTTTATTCTGGTGAAGTAAGTGATTAAATCAGACATTTGCAGCACATTTTAATCTGATCAACTGAAAACAGCAAAAAATATGTTTGTCTGGAATTATTCTAAGATAGCTCTAGATTGCATGTTTTCTCTGGTAAATAGGCAAAATTCTTTATTGTACTTGCCACTTGCAGATATGGAATAATTGGATTAGCATTTGTTTCAATGGTGAGAGAATTCTGTTAAAATATTTTGAACTCTGGAAGACTGCAAAAGCACCTGCAACAGTTCTTTGTTGAAAAAGATAAGATCTGGAATGGAATTATAAAGTTGCCTGAAAGGTCGCAGAATATAGTGGAATAAAACAGTGTTGTATGGGGTTCATGTCTGGAGATACCAGATGGGCTGAATTAATTTTAATATCAATAAGGAACTTCTATTCTCAGAGAAATTGATCTGTGGTGACTTTCACTCAATGTTACACTAGAATGTCAGAGAATTCAGATGCGTCAACAAGTTGATCTTGAAGGTTGACTCATAACCATCAGTTGCAGATTTGTGCTTCACACAGGATGTCAGTGATGCACTCCCCCACCAACCCCGGCACTTAGGATGTGTAAATATTGGACAAATGAATGACTGCAGGGTAATATTGCCCCCTCAGAGTCTCTCACATCCTTGTTAGAAAAATTCACGTCCAGAGAAAACCCTGAAAGCTATACACAAACTTGCCAGCATTAACTGATGAAATCTGGGGTTGAATAAATAAATATTTTTATATATGAGATTTAGTATAGTGTTCTTATTAGTCAATTATAATGATAACATTACAACAGTAAAAATGTTGATAAGTAATGTTAATGCCAAAAAGAAATTTTTTTACTTAACAATATTAAAAATAATGATATCTTGATTTAATAAGACTTAATTAATAAACATTAAAAATTAAGACTTATTTAAAAGAATATATTTAAAAAACAAAGGAGATTACTTACAATAGACCTGTTACCATAAATCAGGCTGTCATGAGGTTCAGCATATAAAGGAGAGTTGAAACCAGTGAAAGGATCATAGTAAGCAAAGGCATGAAGATCATAGACCATCAAGTTGATCCAATCCAATGCTCTTAAAAAAAAAAAAAAAATTAAAGACATCAGAGTAAAGACACTGATTTCTTGAATTAATAATATTCAAAGGATTTATCAACAAAGACTTTTAATATCTAACAATGGTTTTAATGATAATGAATTGAATTAAAAAGTATATAAAGGCATAAAGAATTATTAAACTTTCTATGTAACCTCGTTGATAGTCATTCAGGAAGGAAATTATTTTAGTAGTAATTCATAATAATTTGAGAGACCTTGTCCGAGAATTTACACTATTTATTCATTATACTGTTTATTGTAATAGTTGGCAAAACATTGCTTAATTGCCACTCGATTCAAACTTTATAAACTGGTAAATAATAAAAGGTTTCCTTTCAGCTGGTTCATATATTTTAAAAATTTTGTAAATAATTATGAATAAAATTTGTTTTCATATTTATTTCTGTATAAATTGGTAAAGGATAAATATTGCATTGTATTAGTTTTAATACAATTTTATTAGTTTTTAGAATGTTGAAAATATAAAATTATTATTGCAAATAATCTAATAAAAAGTGTTTAATATTTTTGCTGTATATTCTCAAGAACAAAAAAAATGTATTAATTCACTTTCATCATATGTTTAGATTTTATTACAATTTTAATCATTGCTTTTTAAAACAATAAACATTGCTGAGCAGTGAAGAAAGTTAACATAATAGCAGTGTCAAGAGAAAAAAAATGCTCTTTTGACACATCATTTTTTTTCAACCACAAAGGTTAAAGACTGCATAACATTTTAGTTTGACCTATAATGAAAACTTCAGTTTACATGAGAGCAAGTTATATAAACAATATTTTTTCTGGTTCTGAAATTCTCAGATTGTATACAGAATTAAAGAAATAAATAAAAAAAAATGAAACACAGGTTTCATTTGGTATAAAACTGTAGGTGATTGTTATGAAAATGATTCATTAAATTTGTACTGTTACCTCCTTTTGCACCGACTTTCTTTCTCTATGTACGGCACAAAATTTTCCACCAGGGCCCTGATAGAAACAATATGCATACACCTCTCTTCTTTTATGTGCCATGTCCTTTCAGGATGTAGGCGATCATAGCCCTCCACATCTTTTGTCCCTTGTAACTCTTAATAAGTTTTGTCTGTTTTTACTCTCAAACACGGTTCTGCCATCCATTTTCTCGAGCCCATCAAATACATTACACACCACTTCCCTCCGTCCTTCTTACCCTCAATCTATCCTGTGAGTATCAGATTTTCCAAGCCCTCCTCCCTCATTATATGCCCCAGAAATTTCAACTGCCTCTTTTGATTTAAGTATAAGTTTCCTTTTTGTTTGCATTATACCCTGAACATTGTTGTTGCTCACATGTTCGGCCCATGGTATCCTCTTACTTAAGCCTAATAAAAGGCTGAAAAATTACCTGAGACCAGCAGGTAGGAAGTTGTGGATATCCATGATCGCCCATGTCATGAATGGACATGGAATATAGAAGTTAGTGCTGTTTATGAACAGGATGATGATTTTTTTCTTTTCATGTTAGAGATATAGACAGATAACAAAAGGAGTAGATAAAATTTTGCTTCATAATTGAAGGCTCTGTTAGTTGAATTGGACATCTTTCAGTTGGAGATAATTATGTCTGTGTAATGCACAGGAAATAGGTTTTTTGATAAATGAACTGAAGGAAAGTGTTATCATTTTGAAGCATAACAGCAAATGAAGTGTTGTGGGGATCAACACACACATACACATACAACTGGTCACATGCTGAAAGTATTTTCTGTCCTTAGATGATGTTAAGTAATAGAAGAATAAACAAGATAATCTAGCCTAAGCATTATTCTGACTTCTTCAAATAAGAGCTTGTCCCATTTTGACATGCATTGACTTTTCTGAAAAGATAGAAAATAAAAATAGCAAGTTATCCAAGTGAGAAAAAAAATCAGTTTTGTCACCAGTAATGATAATACAAATATAATATAATACAGTCTAGACACACCCACACTGCCAAGAGATCACTGGTCAAATGGTAGCATGGGTGATAGGCAGAGATGAATGTATGAGAAAAACAGGGAAGTTGTTAACACCCACTGAGGGGATTGGTATGAGGTACCAATGTGAAAGAGGAAGAGTCTAGGAGGTTAATTCTCCTCCGACCTTCCCTCATGGACGAGGGAGAAACCCTCGAAATAGAAAGTGATTAATCTTCCAAAAATGGGAAGTAATTAATTTTCTTGGCCTAAGAACAAAGAGAATTCTTGCTGGAAATCGAGAATTATCAGGAACCCAAACCACGTCAGGCCCCACACCGGATTTTGGTCGGTATCCATATAAACGAACGTTTCGAGGCAGCTGATCAGTTAGTCAGTTCCAAGAGTCCCAGCAGTTGATTCGCAGTTGCAGTCAGGCTGTTGCCTTGCAGAAGCTAACTGAGATTTCCACGTCCTTTTTGACTTCGACTTCCTACCTAAAAGCAAGTTATATTGACGAATGACTTAAGATACTAAAACTTGCTTAAGAAACACAAGTGTCACAAATACATAGAAATGGGTTGGGAGAGAAACACACTCCTATATTCAACAGACGGATAAAGATAATTTGTTATTTCTCAACATATTTGAACCTCTTGAGTTTGTTTATTGTTTCTTTTGCTTACACTTGTGCGATATCACTTTTACCCCGGATTCAGCTTGCACTACGGCCCAACGCCTGATTGATTTTGTCTACCTAAGATCAAAGTCACAATGTGAGTAGGTTAGACTTGAGATCAAAGTAGTTACTTCAGTAACCAGATGTTGGAAGTGAGCTGGGAACGACAAAGCTGGTATCGAACCGGGAACAACCAGATTGACCGAGACACAGGCTGGTGGTAGCGACAAAGAGTCAACCCCAAAAACTTACAGCTTCGCGCTGCAACTGGGAGTTGACCACGGGCCGACAGCGCAGTGTCACATATTGGTGTTGTGACCAGAGGTCGTCACATATTGGTGCTGCGACCATGACCACTGGTGGGTGTCACATTGTGATCATTGATCTGAACAATCAAATTAGCTCCTCTCCTTGTTCATTCACATTACTTAAGTGTTCAGTGATTTTTTTTTGTTCTTTGTCTTTAGGCAATTTGAATCCCTCTGGTTGTCAAGTTTTCTGTTTATCAAAGAATAAAGAAAATATACAAGCTCATTTTTCTTTTATTAAGCTCTATTCACTTCTTTACAATCCTGACTTTCTTAACAGGATATTAATTGACTGGCATGGTAGTAACAACAAAAGTAGAAGCTTGAGGAGCTTTATTTGACTCATTCTACTTTAGTGCTGAAAAACGTTTATTTTATTGTGATGGATGGTTAAAAGCAAGTGGGGAGATGGGATGTGCTTATTTTATTAGAACACATGGCTACTTGACTTATCTTTTTCTTCCATTATCTACATAACACTTCACTTTCTTGCAGGAGGGCTATTATAATAAATGTTATTATTATAAAAACACTGGGTATTAAGTGGCAAAAAGATAGCACTTGAATTCTCTCTAAATATGTGATGTAAAACAGTCTAGCTGGGTGGGTGACTGATGGCTGGTCAGAGAGTAGCTGTACAGTTTGTAAGCCCAACTTATAGTGAACTGTACTCTTCTTTTGGGGCTGGAACACTCTCTCTCTCTCTCACACACACACACTTCAGTGATATTTATGGGAACATGTTTCTTCCAGGTGTGTGGGGAGAATTCTTTTCATATGTACATAGAAACAGTCAGAGGAAAAGGTTTGATGACTTTATCCTCTGGTCACATACCAACATGATCAACTAAATTCTAGATCTCATAATATACAATCAAGGCAGAATTGAGCAGTAATATTGAAAAATAACAAACTCACTTGACTGACTTTTGACTAAGATTCTACCTAGCAAGGTCATCTGGTTTTGTTCAAGTGTCGTTTTTTTTTTTTTTTTTTTTTGTAATTTCTTCAAGGTTTGCATATTCTGCCTTGTTTCAGTATTAATTTAGTAAGTACAGTTGATAAACTCAGATAGTTCAGTCATGTATTAAGCATAGGAGATCCATCAATCATGGCATTTTCAATCATTTGATTAAATTATATCAACTGTTTTTATTGAAATTGCATTTTCCAAGTCAAAATTGAGATCACAAAGGTTCAGGTGAGATTGAATGGAAAGTGTTCCTTCTTTTATGCCCTCTTAATAACTTAAAAAAGTTCAAACCCAGAAAATTCTAAGGGCTAATTCAATTTATTTTGATTTAATGCTTTTTATAATTAATTCTTGTAACCTTATTCTTTACTACATACACAAAACATAATTCATGCCAATTTTTCTTCATTTTTCAAAATCTTCTAGTATGACTGGTGCCTGTCATAAGTATTTATAATGAAAGGCTTTTCCAATTTCCTTAGGGAATTCAATATCATTTTTCACACATATCTAGTATCAATGTAGGCTTAAAAATGGACAGAAACAAAACAGAAGTAATGCTCAATTGTGGTATCCAGTAAAAGATCATAAATCTAGATGAAGAACTGGAAGAATTTTAGGAATAAATATTACTTACAACAGGTAATAGCAATAATGAAAGAACACAGAAATGAAATAAAATGGCATATAATGAGGGGGTGGAAAGCACTTAACCAGAATAGAGATATAACAAACAAAATGCATCCTAGAAATATGTTTAAAATGTAAAGAGTATAATAAGTCACTTGCCCACCACTGTAAGGTTGCCTATCTGTGACTTTTCTATAAATACTTTCATGGTAAGTGTTCAGATGAGCTCTTTGCTATGGTACCTTTGCAGGGAGAGTTTGTCTTTTTTCAGACCTTGTACAACAGGTGATTGTCACCGGACATATTTCTGCCACACTGTGAACTGTTTTTTGAACATACATCTCTTCGTTAATGTTAAGTTGATTTCATTTACATTTTCTTACATTTTTTACTGACTGTTTTTTGCAAAAGTTTGATTTTTTTCTATTTTATTTTTACACTCCCCTAATT